AAAACCAGCGATGCTTCTTGAACAACATATTCAGAAAATGCTCCACGAATGTTCATTTCTGGATCGAGACCGCCATGAACACAACCGGCAACACGTTCACCTTTTTTGTAATCACCTATTAAATACAATCAAACTCTCGGTCATATTTTACGTAAAAGAAGTCGCTTTTCACTCAGCGCAGATGCAGGAAGGAATAGATTGTCATTACGATGAATTATTCAAAGGATCTGTCAGAAATAATTATGAAAAGAATTGTTCAGACTGATACTAAACATGTTGATTAGTTATTCGATTGGTTCAAGAAAAAAATGAAAGAAAATCATTTACATATTTGATGATTCCATGAATAATCAGCAAGTCCCTGATGAATATCATTTATTGAATCGAACAAAAGAACTTACCCACGGCTTCTTTACCAATTTTCACAACTTTTCCTACAAAATCACATCCAACAATGGAACCGGGTTTAGCCAAACCAAATTGAACATGTTTCCAATCAGTTGGATTTTGTGCTGCATGTATTACTTTGATTAGAAGATCTTTCGGTCCATACGGAGGCAACTGAACATATTCGATACAATTTCACAAAAACAAAACAATTTTTTTCTTCGACTTACAGGAAGCTTCTCCAGTACAAGCTTTTTATTTTCACGTACAACTAATCCGATCGGCATGATCCTCGTTAACAAGAAAAATGAGAAAGAGCAGTGTCTCGTGGATTTGTTATATAAGCCTTGTTTCCTCTTCTTCTTCACATATTATTTTTCTCTCTTATGACACTTTCTATAAACAGAAAAGAACAACGATAGAGAAAAGACTCTCGAAGAGAACAAAGTAACGTTTCTTTGCAAGATGACTCGTCATAAATATCGAATAACAATCGTCACGACGAATATGTCAAATTTGTCTCAGAAAAAGATTTAAATAAACATATTGTAACAAAGCTAGTGCATTCGAGTAGACATTTTTCTTCTTAATAATTAATTTTTTTTGCCTTGATTTTCAAATGTTTTCAATATAGAATAAGAACAATGAAAATTTCCTTTTTCTCGTTCAAGTATTCAAAGATTAAAGTTGAGAGAATCTTTCTAATACTTGACCTAATGGATTTTCTTTCATATCCAGAATAGAATTACGTCGATAGATAATATTCTATAGAAAGTCTTGTTCCTTATAAAAGAATTCATTGAAACATTTCTGTATCAAACTGAAAAAAGAATGAATCCGAACGCATCTACAACAATAATTGATTCATCTGTCAGTCGCTTAGTCTTCGCTCGTATTGGATTTCAACAAGTCGGTCAACCGATCTTGTTCACTCTTGGAACGATCGGTTGTTTATTAAACATTTGCATCTTTCTTCGTCAATCCATGCGAAGCAATTCTTGTGCAATGTATTTTCATACGAGTTCATGGGCAAATCTATTTTGCTTAACATGGGGATTATTTATCGGAATGTTGGGATTTTTTACAAATTATTATCCAATAGGTTACAATTCGATTCTTTGTAAAACCCGATATTACCTTTTAACAGCGTGTCAATTGATTAGTCGAGGTTGTGTTGTCATGGCATGTCTCGATCGATTTCTTTTATGTTCACCGAATGTTCGATATCGATCGTTTTGTCAAAGGAAAACAGCATTGAAAGTGATTTTTCTTATTATATTGATATGTCTTTCTTTGTCAATCTATGTTCTCATTGTTTATGAGCCTAATTCAGCATTTAATTGTACGCTGAACTCTGCGACTGGAAGAATTATCGATACAACGGTTTTGTTTGCGTTTAATTTTGGAATTCCAGCGTTATCGATGAGTTCGCTTTGCGGCTTGATTATATGGAGATTAAAACAAAATTCACAACGGTTCGCTCAACAAAGAGTGAGTCTTGTCGAATCGATTGGATTGTCTGACGACGATGTTTTAGGTTCATGTGCGCAAACGAGATGTCCAGCTCTCTGCGATGCTGATTGGACAAGTGGTTTTGTACATTGTCACCGCACTGCCGTTTGTATGTAATTTTGTTTATTTATCAATAACACAGTATGATCCGCCATCGATGAGAACACCTTATCGAAATGCTGCGGAAAGTTTAGCAATAGTGGCAACCGGTGCGTTTGGAACTTATGTCTTCAATGCTGTAAGAACTCTTTTTGTTTATTAACTGATTTTGATTTGATCGTTGATGAGAATTTTAGATGAATTTTTATGTTTATACGTTAACAGCACCGAGTTTCCGACGTGAATTGTTTGCATTAATTACTCAGAGACAGCGGATGAATCAAGTTCCACGAATCAATCCACAATATCTTTCTCGAACAAATCGAATCAATCCTTCACACCATCAAACGTGAATTGTGAAGGATTCGTACAGAGTGAAAGTTATCAAAATCCATGTAAAACAAAACGTGTTTGTCTCAATAAAAAACGTTCGCTTACGACGCAATTTTGTTCTATGAAAAGAAAACAAAAAAGTCACTTTTAAGTCTTCGTTTTGCATTTTTTATTAGATGAAAGAACCGATGCATATAAATATTACACAAATGAGGGGTGCGCTAATAAGACATTGGTAGTTTTTGGTCTTAATTTTCAAATAAATCGATGCCGACATTGATCCAAGTATAAATAAAAGTACCGTGAAAAATTCATTGAAAGAAAAGAAGATAAGACGACGATCATAACATCATTCGGGAAAAGATATTGAACGACAGGATCGTTCATCTTAGATACATGAATCATTAAGAGAATGCATCGGATTTCACAATAGTAATTACTTTCTGTAATTTGAGCCTATTTTACGCAATTAGGCATCTTCAAAAGTTTTTTAGTTGAAGAAAGTAATATCGTTTCTCGCAGGAGAAAACAAAACCTCGAAAGTGAGTCCTTTCGAACAAAAATCTACTAAATTTAAACTTTCCCATAGATTTTGTATATATTCTTCACGCTGTTTGGCTAGAGCATATTTTGGTACAGCAGTTGCTTAAAGTTTCATTGCTTCAGGGCGTAACAAATAACCTAAGTAAAAGCTTATTTCAAAAAATTCTTTCCATTATTTTTCTTTTAAACAATATCATAGTGTCAAAAAGTACTTTAACAACGACAAGCACAACTAAATCTGGTTTCCATCTATATGGAAACTTATTTGTACATTATTCAGCAACTTACATAGACAAGAACCACAAAAATCACGAATACAAGTTCGATAGGATATTAATTATGTAGTTCACATTCTTTGTATTATTTATATTTGATAGTTGCAACAACAACGAATAACTCGACTCAATTATCTATTTGATTTGATTGTGCTTGATATTCTTTTTGTTCAAATTTTTTATTTCAGCGTTCAATTCAAGTAGCACAAGCTCTATCAGGTCGACAACATCAACTACTACAACTGTCATAAGTAAACAGAGTCTTTCTTTGAAGAACTATGCCAATAAAAAAGCTTCTCATGTTGCAATTGGATCTCTTACAGGTCTAGTTATGTTAAAGACATTCTCAAATGGAGTTTCCTGTTATTCATGTTGTAGTTTTAATTGGATGGCTACATCACTGATAATTGGTACATCGATGATGTTTCGATTTTTTGATAGTTCAGCCAATCAGTTAATTACAGAAGGAGGAATTATCGATACCGTAAACAACCATCCGATGTCGAACTCGTGGTCTTAATCTGAATCAGATCCGAAAATCGGCTCAAAGTCATGATCCAATGGTCGTAATGAAGTAACGGATACTCTTCCATAATCATTTTCCACAACAATCGGATATACTTATTTTGTTAGTTGGCGGTTGGATGCTAGTCGAACGGCCTTTGCGAAATTTAATGTTTCTACAGCTTGATCCTCATGATCAAATAGTCAAGTACACTCGAACTCATTAATTGATTGACTGAATAAACTTTTGGAATGATTTTTTTTTCATAACAGATTCTTTTATATTTTCAGAAGAAATTTTAATAAATAACAAACATGTCTAATCAATCGTATTCAAAATGGTTCGTCACTTCATTCTCCTTGCTGTGATCATCGTTATTTTGATCGCCTGCTTCGGTCCAAATCTTATTTCAAGTGTCAATCCAAAAGATTGCTATATGTGGGATCAATGCCGTCGTCACTATGAAAAGGAAGGTACACAAGTTATTCTTTGGCAATGTGGAACTGTTCCTCCCAGTTGTTTCTTTCGAGAATAAAAATTCTTTTTTTTCCCTCGAATTTATCAAGTTTATAAGGGTTCAATATGTCCTCTAAGACAAATTGTCCGTTTAATAAATAGAATCCATTCTCGGAATTGTTTGTGAATATTTGGTAATGAACCAACGATGATAAAAGGCAAAAATTGATTGACAAAATAAGCCATATAGTAAAAATAATAATACTGAATATCACTGAGAAATGTCGGATCCCATAGAGCTTCGATGACGCCAACGATGATCTCTGGTAACATAAATGTAAAATAAAGAATTGAAATAAACGCCAATTGAACAATCATGCGTTTCTGTCGACGCCAATCGATGATTCGTCTTCGTTGAAGCTTTTGTTCGATAACACGAAAGAAGAGACAAAGATTGACAATGAGAATTACAAACATAGGTGAACCATAATGAAATAACCAATCAAAAGTGCCTAAAAATGGAACGTAAGAGTAACATGCACCTGAACAGAAGATCAACGTATAATCCCAAACATTCTCACATTGACTTGGAAAGAAAATTACAATGAAATAAAAGATTGGACCATAGATTAAACAAACAATCAGTGGAATGTAATGAAATATGATCAAAAAACCTTGTTTTTTCATGATTTGTTGATGAAATATGAATAAGTGTCGTTGCAAAGAACATAATGTGATTAAGAATGCACTAATACAACAGAATGAATAATCCAGCCAATTCCAAAATTGGCAAAAGACATACGATTCTTTTAAAACATATCCCCAGCGAAGATAATACAGTAATAAAGGAACATCGGTAATTTTTTGGATAAAACTTATTAATAATAAACATAAAATCGTGTGATTTTGAGGAGAATTGACAACTTCCTTCCGAAAATTTCGGAGAAAATAAATGAAAACAAACAAATCGCACAATAATGATGGACCTGTTGTCATCTGTAATATTGAATATTTAACTAAACGAACGTATTCATATGCATCAACCATCTTTTTGTTTTTATAAAAAGGCAAATGAATTTTCTTTTAGAGCGTTTAATCTTATAGAAAGACATTTCCTTAATGACAAAATCGGGTAATTACTGTCTTGACGTCAAAGATCTTCTCTATATTTAGAAGATTTTCTTTGTCAACTATATGACTTTGAAAGAAAACATGATCGAAAAAGGTGTATTTTTCACTCCACGTGGTCGCTAAAGGTGCATCGCTTCTTACTCGTGATATTGCCAAAGTGAATCACAAATATTTTTTTTGTATTGATCATTCGAGCGAAACATTTGATTTGATACGGCAAAACACAAATGCGAATTCTTCTTCTTGTATCCTTGATTATTTTGATTCTTATGAGCATCGTTAATGCTCAAAGTGTGTCTGGTTATGGAAGTAAAACAAGAACAGGACGAAGTAAAACGATTTGATTTCTTGAATGTTTATCTCAAAGTCGATTTTAGATCATTTTTATCGTGGAAGAAGTACAAATTTCATGAGAAATGTTTATCAAGGTCCAACTACACCTCTTGGATATGTGACAACAGCTGCGATACTTGTTTTGTTCTTAATGGCACTTCATCATCTTTGGTCGAATCGTCTTCCCATACCATCGAATGAAGATTATGTTAAGAATTCATTGGTCGTAGTAGAAGGTCAGAATGATTGTAATCCGTTTTTATCTGGCCTATGGTCAAGTCGATATTATCAATATGATCGATTTCATGGACCTTTTCAACTATCACTTTTATTCGATTCAGAAAAATCGAAAGTCACGGGAAATGGAATTGATGATATTGGACAATTTGTTGTCAAAGGTTCCTATGCGATAAATACGAATCGTTTAGCTTTGGTAAAGACTTATCCTAGACAAAATCACGGACATGATGTGACGATTCAAGTCTCGTGGAATTCTACTCAAACACAATTCGAAGGAAAATGGTTTATAAAAACGAAATATTCAAGTGACGAGGGAAGATTTGAACTTCAACATGAAAAACATTAAGATATGGATGAAGATGTGAATGCCATCATTTTCTTTTGTTCATATTCACACCGCAACTCAACATGCATCCTAGTTAGCGTTGCTTAGCTTTCATCTATCGCTAATCTCACTTTCATTCTTGATGATGGATCTATTCTCTGTGTATTTACCTTTGAAAATTGAAAAAATAGAAATAAAAATAAAACACGCGTTCTACAGGTAACTGTAAATATTTGTTTTCTTATATTTACCTATCTGTTGTGCCATATCTTTCTATATAAAACTTAACTGACTACGCAAGATGTTTTATGATTAAACTATTACAGTCTGCATCGATTCTTACAATTTTGACATAATCGTTACATTATCCAAACATGTCGGAGCCCTACTACACTTTGAAAAATGAAGTTTTCGCAAATTTTGCTTATTATGCAGCAATATCAACGCTTAAAATGATGGCTATGTCACTACTCACTAGTCGCGAGCGATTTGTTAAGAATGTGCGTTTCATTACGTCCGTTCGATTTTCTTAGTTATTTCTACGTTGTTTTTTTCCAGGCCTTTGCTAATCCTGAAGATATTCAGCTAGGTCGAGATAAACAGGCGAAAGTGACATTGACTGATCCAGATGTTGAACGTGTTCGTCGAAATCATTTAAATGATATTGAAAATATCGTTCCATTTGTTATTATTGGTATTTTGTACGTTAGTATTAATCCATCTTCAACAACAGCTCTATGGCATTTTCGTACATTTTTCTTTTCTCGCATATTTCACACAATTGCGTATCAGGTAAGAAAATATTTGTTCTGAGACATATATTTTATCGTGGAGTTTAAGCTTCCATTACCTCAACCATCACGAGCTGTTGGCTTTGCAATCGGTTATGCAACAACTATGTCAATGGCTATTCAATTCTTACGCGCTCTTTTCAAATAAGTTGTCAATTACAAGATAAAACTCATTTTTATTGCATAGATTTCCATGCAAACAGACATTTACTCTAATACGATGTATTAGTTGTCAGTGCGTATGCTTAAATAATACTACAAAGATTCACTGGATCACGAATAAAGCTCTTTATCATTATTATAGAGAGATAAAACATTTTTCTTGAATGTGTTGTTTTACTAACCAAGTTCTATTCACATTGTTCAACAGTAGAAATAAGAAAACGCTTAGAAGTCTCGAATTTTCCCACCATTGTCAATGAAAATATAATTGATTCTATTCGCTCATCTCTCACACATGTCGTACGACGTCTTATTTCGCGAACAAGTCGCAGATGTTGATTTCAAGACAACAACGCACAACTGACAGTTAAATAATAATCTTTCTTATAATATTTACTGCAAAACAAATACTAGATGAAACAATCGTGAAAGAAATCTTCGCTAAAAGTGGCCAATCAAAAAGAGCGTTGATTTCTGAATGTGAATAGAATATCTTTTTGAATCGGAGAGCAGATGATTTAAGTTATTTACTTGAACAGTGTAAAGAACATGAGTTGATATCAATCGAGACGATGAGAGTTAACTGAGCTCCTACTAGCTGATAACTATATTACCTATTTGTTATCAATTTATACGTATGTCATTTCTGTTGACCAACGAAAGTGAAACAAAACCATGTAAAATAAATACAAGATAGTAAATCTTTATAAGTTCGCTTATATCTAAAGTTTATATTGTATTTCTCTGATATATCTATTCTCTTTTTTTATTCCGACGATTTTATCGTTATTTGACGATGTGTGTGCTCATCGTTGACAGTTTACATTTGAAATATGTGAATATCCATATATGAACTACTGTTTAATTGACTCTTTCCTTGCAATAAAATATTTCCCGTGTTAAGTATGTAGATTTTGAAATTTTTTTAAACTACATATGATATGAAATCCTCTATGCCTGGCGCAGTCTGACACTAAAGGTTTTGATTTTTTGCTCTTCCTTTTCTCTAAAGAGCGCTTTCATCTATAAAATTCTCAAAAGTAGATGAGAGTGAGGGTGTATTCCTAGTTCGAAAACGTTGTGGAGGGTAAAAGCCAAAGTCTCAATCTGTAGGGCATCGACTACTCTATCATCAGAGGGCATTGAGCAAAAACTTGTGTCAGGATTTTGTATAGGATCTACTTTAAGAAAATCTTGGAGAAAAAAATGTCTGCTAAACAAAAGAAACATCATTACTGAAAATCGTTGAGTATCGTATAGTGTTGCATTTAATCGAGTTCAAGAAAAGTAAATTGAAGTCAGCATTCCACTGGAAGCCGTAATTCACAATAAATCGAACTCTACGGTAGACCTTTAAAACTTCTAATGAAAAAACTTTGTGAAATGCAATTCTAGTGTCATGTATCGCACAGATTAGTAATGCTGAGAATGAATTTTTCTTTGACAGGTTATGATTTTTTATGCTATAGCTACATATCGATTTCAAATGATTCTCTTTGGTCATGACAATGCAATCATCAAATATCCTGGAACTCTGAGACAAAAATCTCGTCATATTTTTCCTCATAATGTTTGTCTAACTGACTCTTCTTTGTACATACTCAAAACAATGATTCCGGATGTTGAATCCGACCCGTACTTCTCGACATGAGCAAAACAGTGTTAGTCTTTCACAACTGAAATAAAAAATCAACATATTACCTTTTAGTGCACCTGTTATTTGAAAATCTTCTTGTTTCAGATTGCTCACACATTCAGATTTTCTCTCACAACAAATGGCTTCGTATCTGGAACTATCGAAACTATTATCATCTGTCGATTCAATTAAACCATTAATCAGGTTAGAAAAGAATCTAAATAAACTTATTCAAATATGTGAGAAAAATGAAGACGATGAGGAAGAATACGAAAATACTGTTCAACTAGTAAACAATTCGATGAGGGATCTTTCACAAAATTGCTATACCTGGTTAACATCTATTGAATATCATAAACGTCAATCATTTTTCCAAGCTTTACTCAACAAAATCAATCCATTACAAGCACAACTAAAAAAATATGTTGCAATTAAGACCTTCAATGAATATGATGAACAATTATCAACATTAAAATTACTTTGTGATACTGATTTCAATCAGAAACCATTGGATTTCGCTGAAAAATGTCTGACATATATGAACCTATGGAGCCATTTTGAAAGCCAAGTTATTTCATTGATTGAAAATATAAATCGAGTGACAGGATTAGAAAATATGTTATCGACTCATTTAGATGCAATTAAAAATGCTCGAAAAAGAATAGTTATTTCTTTTCTAGGCAGTTTAAAATCTACAAAAAGCAGTTTGGTTAATTTTCTTCTAGAAAGAGAAATCTGTCCAACAGGAAATGAAGCAACAACGGCTCGTCTAACAAAAATTATATATGGTGAACGAATAAAACTTACTCGAGTAGTCGGTGGAGATGCGTCTAAATCTGAAGATTTTTATCCCGATAATTACGAAGAATTATTAGTTAAAGCAACTGAATTTATTAAATTGCCATCAGATGAACGGTCAAAAGAGTGTAAAGATGTGATTATTCTCGAATTACCTATGAAAGTATTGAAAGGCGTGGAGTTATGGGATATACCGGGTTTTGATGAAAATGAAACTATTAATAATAGAATAAAAGAGATTCTTGAAGATACCGATTTAATATTTGTTCTCATACCTCACCAAGAGAGTGTCAGAATGGCATTTCAAAATTTCATTAAACCACGGTTAGAAAAACAAGAAAATGATAATACTAATTTTGAACTTAATGCAAACAATAGAACATCAGTTGTGTGCTTTATTGTTACTCAAATCGATACTTTTAAGCCTAATATTCAAACAAATAGATCACGTGATGATGTATTGGCTAACCTTTTTATCACCCTGGGAAAATATCCAAATATTAAATTCGATGGAAATGATATGAAATCCTGTAACAATTTTATACCAATGTGCACACATCACCAATTTGGTATCAAAACGTTTTTAGAATGTCGTCAAATGTTTATTGAAAAGTCTAGTCGGTGGTTTCAAAATGCTATCGAGCGCTTAGCACATTTTCGCTTACGTTATTTATTAAATGTAATGCAACAAATCATTCAGTATAGTGATATCAAACTAAAATTTCAACAATGTAAAGAATTGCAACATGCTGTCAAAAAATGCTTTTCTCATTTGAAATCTGAAATACCTGAATTCATTGCCGACACGTTATCACCATTTCAAGAAGAACTCCGTTGTAGTCTTCGCACAAAGGCGTCGAAGCGCAGTGATAATCCCGAGCATTCACAGAAGTCAATGCAGGAAAAACAACCAACAGATAGTTTCAAAGAGAGACTTACGGATAAATTCCAGGAAATTTTAAAACAAAAGGAAGAAGTTATAAACATTCGCTTTCATGATTTTCTAATGAAACATTCGGCATCCTTAGAACTGAATCCTGCAATAGCACTGCTGTATGAAAGTATAATAACTGAAGTATCCTTGAATCCATACAAACTAGGTATTGGCTTTTTCGAAAATGCTACTCATCTGAATACGAATGTAGAATATTATCAGCGCTGGGGTGGTCTATCACTCCTCGGTGGTTATAGTGCGTATATTGGTGCAGTCGTTATTATTGATACGGCTCCTGTTGCTGCTCCACTTTTGCTTGCGAGTGCGCTAGGTTTGTATTGTTTTCTGTATGTCGGTCAGAATGAAATTCTTTTAATATCATAGGAATGCTAACTCTTGGCCTGATAAATGTGCAATGGTTTGACCAAGCAGAGAAGAATTGCATCACGAGTGTAAACGAGGCAATGCATAATCATTTAGCGGATAAGCTGACAACATTTTCCGAGTCACGTCTCCAAATGATCATTGCCAAGATCGATAAAATGATGAATGAATTAACGTCGTTATCAGATGTACAAATACAAGCTTTAACCAAATTTACGAATACATACAAGTTGACAATGAACAAACTCTATCTGAACTTACAGAGCGAACTATTCAAATTGAAATATCCAGAATATGAAATTTCTGAGGAAAAATTGATCCCACGTACTTTTGAAACATTTCGCACAACATTATTCCTGTCGGATAAGACAAGATTTGATTTAGCAGCAGCCAAGGTTCCGCTTCAGCAATTTGACATAGAACATTTTCATTGTTTGAAACAACTCAACCATTCAAATATTGGCAAATATTATGGCATTTTAAAGTGCGTGTCTGAAGAAGATTTTTATTACATAATTATAGATAAAATGGACGGCGATTTGAGCACGGATGGTCAAAAACATTTATCAGAAATGAAGGAGAACCAAATTTCAGATATTTTATATCAGATAACTGATGCTTTACGCTACATTCATGATCGATGTTTGATACACAGTAATGTGAATCCAGCAAATATTTTCTTCAAAAAACTCGGTGATCAATTTTCATTTTATCTCGGAAATTTTTCTTACGTGCGTTTTGATCCGATGATTCCATGTGGCACCTCTAAGCATACTGCACCTGAGTTTACCGATCGAAGTTTAGGACCAGTTACTCATAAAGCAGATATTTATTCATGGGGTGTCACAATTAAAGAGCTGGTGGGTTGCGTACCTTATAATACAGTTTCCAATAGTGAGAAACTCAATCGATGGCTAGGAATCGTCGATCATTGCATGAAAAGGTGCCCAGCAGATAGGCCATCTTGCAATAAAATTCTAGAAGCATACAAGTAATTGGCTAATTAAATTCATATTTTTCATGTAATGATCCGATGTTGTATTGTATTTCGGAAAATTGTCCTTATTTTCTTCCAAACATGATTTAATCCAGATGATCATGTCAAGTTTTCTTCAATCGAATAAATCTAACTGAATCTGAATCCTTTTACTTTGTATCGTCAAAATAGATGGGTTAGTCGATGCATAGATAAAAAGAAAAGGAACTGTAAATATTGCTTCGCCCTCACCCGCACCCTTACAATAAATAATCGATATAAGCACAAAACTACTTGTAAATAAAGAATATCATTGAACTCATTTTCTGTCTATAATGGATTGATGTTTTTCAAAACCATGATGTTACATTTGTGGATCCTTGTGAGAAACCAATCAGCTGATGTGTCTTTTTACTACGACGAGTCATTGCCGAGTTTACTATTGTTTATTCTAAACACCTTCAATCACTGCATTTTTGCTGATCATATTTTGTTAATATTCAAGCTCACCCGTAGATGTGAAACATCACACTCAATTTTACGCTCATGCATTGACATTGGTTAGGAAAATCGCTCAAATTTGAAATAATTCTCCTGTAACTCGCCAAAATAGAGTAACTTAAATTCTATCAGTAGGAATTAATGAATGGCTGAAGTCCTTTAACATTTACGTTCAAATTCATTCACGGATATATTTGTAACGAAAATACACACGAATGAATCATTGAAAAGTTGAACTGGGAAAAAACCCAGGAGTGGCACTGGGTAAAATTGAATCATCACTCTGTCCATATAAATCGGTACTATGTGAGGTGATGGCGATGCAATCGTTTTGGCTGTTTTTTTTTTATTGTAAAGATCGACAATCACGCGATTTCTGCATCTGATTCGCATCCACATATTCCATTTTTCGTAAAGGTAAAATTGTTTTTAATATCTTTGATGGATAATGATTCGAAAATTCATAGGTATGATATCATGATTGAAATTTCTATTCGATGAGAAAAGCACTCATTAAGAACCTTTCATTTTAGTTCAAATAGGGCGATGGCATCTCCGTCCTTTGATGATTTGGATTTAATCTTCGACAACGATGATGGAAGTGAATAGAACAGTATTCTTTCAATGGAATAATGTAGTTTCATTCTATTTTCAGAAAGAAATCTTCATGTTGAATCTATATCGATTCACAGTAAAGCGAAAATTAGTTCAGGTAAAAATTTGAATAGTTTTTCATTACTTTTTAGATGACAATGATCCAGTTTTGCCTGTTGAAAGTCCACAGTTACCTGAAAACTTCGACGATCTGGGAAGAAGTGCAACTATTGCTATTTCTCCACAAAACGCTTCAACAAATTTACAATCGAGTTCGTTTCTCATAACCATTGACAGGAATCGATGCACTATGTTGTAGATATGGAAAACGATCCGGCGTTCAAGTGTTTTTGGTCAACATTAAATTCTGAAGAAATGACGCAATTATTAACGGAAGATTCAAATGATAATCAAAATATTTTAGTTAAATCAACGGTAAAACAGATTAATAAATACATTTTATCATCAGATAGTTCTGTGCTCTAGGATATTGTGGAGTATCCGTTTTTCGTTGATGATTGTCAACAACAGTATATTTATATTGAGGTAAACAACCCAATAAGTATAAAGACGCAGCCGTGTGCGGATTACCACGTGCGCTATGAAGGAGACAATAAACCATCACCACGCTACACCAAAGCAGCTGACAAAAAGGCTATCCAAATTGATGTCAGTGTACTTACTAAATTGATTAACCTCTTTTCATTAAGTTTCTATTTATTTATGCATTTAGTTCTCACCTGACTTATCTGATATCTGGAGACTTTGGAAAGAATCTGGATATATTCCTTGGATGAGAATCACACGTACAACTGCTCCGAATTCGGATTCTAATGTCATCTTTCGTCATCCATACCCAATATGGATGAAAAACAATAGGACAAAAGTCCATGATGGGTCGATATACATTCAAATAAGTGATGATGATATATCAAACGGATACATCAAGTAGGTCATTCTTAAGTATGTGTTTATACAATGCTTTACTTGCTTCAGAATCGAGAATTTGATCATGGTTAGCATCAAGCAAGATAAACTTGCTATGATCGATAGATTTGCCATTTACAATCCACTACAAACTTTATTCTCCGGTAAAACGAATTGATTGTTGGATTCTTTTAAGCTGCTTATACTTCATTTTAATACAATAGAATATTGTAATACACACACAAACAATGCAAAAACGATAATCGACACATTCAATCTTCGTCGATCGAAACTCTGCTTTCAAATAATGATGGCTGATGTTGTTAATACGGTATACCCAATGAACTGCTGCTGTGAAACAATAGCAATGACCGAATATACGGGTAAATCTCATCTTGTTCGCTTCATTCAAGTGAATATATCACATGTTTGATTATTTTTTTATTTTAAAGGAAAAAAAACTAGTGCAGAGTCGGATGAATTGTCATCATCTAAAAAACGTAAAAGAAATGAAGAGCAATTCCAATTACGAAAGGTCTGCTTTGATCGATGGTTGATCATGAAAATAAGTATTCTTATCTTTTAGACAAAAGCAAAGAAAGCCAAATCAGGCCATACCTAATCGTCAATTATCAATCAATTTTGTTGAATTTCATCATAATCATGAACATTTTCGCCGAGAAATGTTTGAATTGTTAATAACTTTTACACTGTTACTAATGCAAAAATGAAAAAAAAACTCATTGTAAAGGAAAAGACGGAATACAGCCGCCGAATTCTATCCGCTTGTATCCCGTCTTTTCCTTACGAAGACGAATTTTCAAGTTGACATAATTACTTATGATAGCATAAACTTACGCTTGCCGGGAATATCTTCGATAAGATATTCACAGGATCTTACTATTATTCATAAGAGTAAGAGGCGCTCCTGAGCTGCCGGTAGCCAATATAAAAATAGATTTTATTTTGCAAAATTATTCAAATCTACTGTGATCTATCGGCTTTATCCCGTCTTTTCCTCAGCAAACAAATCAGGCCATACCTAACATTGAAAAACGTATCACAACGTCTCGTCGCATGAAGATATGGCACTGTACCTTTGTAATTCCAAACTACATAATTACCACATATTAGCAAGAATTATATTCACGTTCCAGACCGGAGAGACCATTTGAGGTTATAATTTAAGTTTTTGAGGTTTTTTTGTAATTATTTGTACATATGTATTAATTTAAAATTACTTAGTTAAGTATTATTTCTATCTTTTATTTGTAAATATTGAAAAAGCCAAGGGTACTCAAAAGATGGGATAAAATCCACACCTCTAGGCTTTCAAAGTCTATAGTAGATGGAAGTATGTTCGATTGCCTGTGATAAGATAATCAGGTGTTCGTGTGAAACGATATGTGTTGATACACAAAACTTAGATTGATTCACTTTCACGCACACACTAGTAGGAATAAGAGTAAGGAATTATGAAAGAAAAGGGTCTGTTCTGCATGCTGCATCTGTGTTTCATTGTTTATTTCTGTTTCTAGCTGAAACAAGAGATGTTTGAGAATAAATTAGTTGGAAAACTAGATCTGAAAAGCTTTCAATTTATGAAACGCACAATGTTCGTTGTTCACAACTTCTCTTTGTTCTTTCGTCTTTCATCCGTTATGATTTTACCAAGATCAAGAAAGTGTTGTTTTTTTTGCTGCTTCGCAATTTCTTTCATTGTTCAAGTATGGACTTAAATAGAAACTTTTTAACTGTTTTATTATGCTCCTCTAGCGAGAGAAAGAAAAGTTAGACGGATGTTTGCAAATCAACAACTACAAAAAAAGAATTTCCAAGAAAAAATATTCTCAAACTCTGTCTGTGTCATCTGGAACTGCATCAAGCGACGCACGTTTAATTTTGTCGTCTGTATGTTTGTTATCAGTCACTTTGGGTGAAATTCCAACAGCTGTGTGAGAGGACATTTCAGGAAATTGACCCAATTGAACGAAATTCGTTTCTTTTTCAATGACTTCACCTGATCGAAGCTGCCGATTAAGTTTAGCCGATCGAATTGGTGAAGAATTTCTCACCAAATAATTTACTTGTTCAAGTGACAATCCTTTCGTTTCCCAAATACAGAAGATTGCAAAAAGCAGACAACCGAGACAAGTTGAACCCCACACAAAGAACACTTTCGATCCCATGTTTCCTTTGTCTTCGTCGACCATATATGGCGTTGCATAACCAAGTGCAAAGTTAAATAGCCAATTCGATGCACTTGAAAATGACATACACTTGGCTCGAATTGATATTGGATATATTTCTCCTGTCACAACCCATGCGGCTGGGCCCCAAGTTGCTGCGAAAAACGCAATGTAAATACAGACGAATGCAATCAATGTCTTCTGAGCTGCTTCATTGGATTGTCCGACAATAGTTCCAATAATAGCAATAAGATATTCACAAACCAACATTCCTGCTGCACCAATAATTAAAATCTTTCTTCGGCCAAGTTTGTCCATCAGCAATATGCCAGGAATGGTCATACCGACATTCACAACATTCGTGGCTATCGTGATCAAAAATGGTTGAGAAATTCCCGATGAATGAAAGAAAGATGTTCCGTAATAGAAAATAAAGTTGATTCCAGTTAGCTGTTGCCAAGCTTGCAGAAAAATTCCAACTAAGGTGCGGATGAGGTTCTTTTGAGGTCCCATCTTGAAACAATCAAGATAACTCGTACTGCCATATTGTTTCATTAGCTCAGTGTTGGCAACTAGTTCTTCAACATCTTTGATCACATCAGGATGATCGACGCTTTTCGATGCAAGTCGCGCTTGTGATTTTGTCGCTTGTTCAACATGTCCTTTTAAGATTAAATATCGAGGAGATTCCGGCAATATGAACATTCCACCGGCAAGGATCGCTGCCCAAATAAACTGTATACCCAGTGGAATTCGATAGCAATTGTACGACATGATATCTTTCGTTCCATTATTGGCTATCGCAGCTATCAACAGTCCAATGGTAATGAACCATTGATAACCAGACACAATCGCACCACGAATCCATTTCGGTGCACATTCACTTTGATACATTGGAACAATACAAGAAATAATTCCAACGCCCAGACCTGCAACAACACGACCAACGACAAATAGGGGTGTGGCTGTTGCTGCTACTTGAAATGCAACACCAATTGAAAAGATCAAACATGCCAAGATTAGGCCCCATCGACGTCCGAGAAAATCACTAGAGGGATAACCAAGTAATGCACCGACAAATGTACCAGCAGACAAAATCGAAACAATGAACAACGGATGCNGATCAACGTGTAATTCCAAACATTCTCACATTGATTTGGAAAGAAAATTACAATGCAATAAAAGATTGGACCATAGATTAAACAAACAATCAATGGAATATAATGAAATATGATCAAAAAACCTTGTTTTTTCATGATTTGTTGATGAAATATGAATAAGTGTCGTTGCAAAGAACATAATGTGATTAAGAATGCACTAATACAACAGAATGAATAATCCAACCAATTCCAAAATTGACAAAAAACATACGATTCTTTTAAAACATATCCCCAGCGAAGATAATACAGTAATAAAGGAACATCGGTGATTTTTTGAATAAAACTTATTAATAATAAACATAAAATCGTGTGATTTTGAGGAGAATTGACAACTTCCTTTCGAAAATTTCGGAGAAAATAAATGAAAACAAACAAATCGCACAATAATGATGGACCTGTTGTCATCTGTAATATTGAATATTTAACTAAACGAACATATTCATATGCATCAACCATCTTTTTGTTTTTATAAAAAAGCAAATGAGTTTTCTTTTAGAGCGTTTAATCTTATAGAAAGACATTTCTTTAATGACAAAACCAAGTAATTACTGTCTTGACGTCAAAGATCTTCTCTATATTTAGAAGATTTTCTTTGTCAACTATATGACTTTGAAAGAAAATATGATCGAAAAAAGGTGTATTTTTCACTCCACGTGGTCGTTAAAGGTGTATCGCTTCTCACTCGTGATATTGCCAAAGTGAATCACAAATGTTTTTTTTTTTGTATTGATCATTCGAGCGAAACATTTGATTTGATACGGCAGAACACAAATGCGAATTCTTCTTCTTGTATTCTTGATTATTTTGATTCTTTTGAGCATCGTTAATGCTCAAAGTGTGTCTGGTTATGGAAGTAAAACAAGAACAGGACGAAGTAAAACGATTTGATTTCTTGAATGTTTATCTCTAAGTCAATTTTAGATCATTTTTATCGTGGAAGAAGTACAAATTTCATGAGAAATGTTTATCAAGGTCCAACTACACCTCTTGGATATGTGACAACAGCTGGGATACTTGTTTTGTTCTTAATGGCACTTCATCATCTTTGGTTGAATCGTCTTCCCATACCATCGAATGAAGATTTTGTTAAGAATTCATCGATCGTAGTGGAAGGTCAAAATGATTGTAATCCGTTTTTATCTGGTCTATGGTCAAGTCGATATTATCAATATGATCGATTTCATGGACCTTTTCAATTATCACTTTCATTTGATTCAGAAAAATCAAAAGTCACTGGAAATGGAATTGATGATATTGGACAATTTGTTATCAAAGGTTCCTATGCAACAAATACAAATCGTTTAGCTTTGATAAAGACGTATCCTAGACAGAATCACGGACATGATGTGATGATTCAAGTCTTGTGGAATTCTACTAAAGCACAATTCGAAGGAAAATGGTTTATAAAAACGAAATATGCAAGTGACGAGGGAAGATTTGAACTTCAACATGAAGAACATTAAGATATGGATGAAGATGTGGGTGCCATCATTTTCTTTTATTCATATTCACACCGCAACTCAACATGCATCCTATTTACCGTTGCTTAGCTTTCATCTATCGCTAATCTCACTTTCATTCTTGATGATGAATCTATTCTCTGTGTATTTACCTTTGAAAATTGGAAAAATAGAAATAAAAATAAAACACGTATTATACAGGTAACTGTAAGTATTTGTTTTCTTATATTTATTTATCTGTTGTGCCATATCTTTCTATATAAAACTTAACTGACTACGCAAGATGTTTTATGATTATACTATTACAGTCTGCATCGATTCTTACAATTTTGACATAATCATTACATTATCGAAACATGTCGGAACCCTTCTACACTTTGAAAAATGAAGTTTTCGCAAATTTTGCTTATTATGCAACAATATCAACACTTAAGATGATGGCTATGTCACTACTCACTAGTCGCGAGCGATTTGTTAAGAATGTGCGTTTCATTACATCCATTCGATTTTCTTAGTTATTTCTACGTTGGTTTTTTTCCAGGCCTTTGCTAATCCTGAAGATATTCAGTTAGGTCGAGATAAACAGGCGAAAGTGACATTGACTGATCCAGATGTTGAACGTGTTCGTCGAAATCATTTAAATGATATTGAAAATATCGTTCCATTTGTTATTATTGGTCTTTTGTACGTTAGTATTAATCCATCTTCAACAACAGCTCTATGGCATTTTCGTACATTTTTCTTTTCTCGCATATTTCACACAATTGCTTATCAGGTAAGAAAATATTTGTTCTAAGACATATATTTTATCGTGGAGTTTAAGCTTCCATTACCTCAACCATCACGAGCTGTTGGCTTTGCAATCGGTTATGCAACAACTATGTCAATGGCTATTCAATTCTTACGCGCTCTTTTTAAATAAGTTGTCAATTACAAGATAAAACTCATTTTTATTGCATAGATTTCTATGCAAACAGACATTTACTCTAATACGATGTATTAGTTGTCAGTGTGCTTAAATAATACTACAAAGATTCATTGGATCACGAATAAAGCTCGTTAACATTATTATAGAGAGATAAAACATTTTTCTTGAATGTGTTGTTTGACTAACCAAGTTCTATTCACATTGTTCAACAGTAGAAATAAGAAAACGCTTAGAAGTCTTGAATTTTCCCACCATTGTCAATGAAAATATAATTGATTTTATTCACTTATCTCTCATACATGTCGTACGTCGTCTCATTTCGCGAACAAGTCGCAGATGTTGATTTCAAGATAACGATGCACAACTGACAGTTAAATAATAATCTTTCTTATAATATTTACTGCAAAATAAATGATAGATGAAACAATAGTGAAAGAAATCTTCGCTAGAAGTGGCCAATCAAAAAGAGAGTTGATTTCTGAATGTGAACAGAATATCTTTTTGAATCGGAGAGCAGATGATTTAAGTTATTTGCTTGAAAAGTGTAAAGAACATGAGTTGATATCAATCGAGACGATGAGATTTAATTGAACTCCTACTGAATGATAACTATATTACCAACTTGTTATCAATTTATACGTATGTCATTTCTGTTGACCAACGAAAGTGAAAAAAAAACATTTAAAATAAATACAAGATAGCAAATCTTTATAAGTTCGCTTATATCTAAAGTTTATATTGTATTTCTCTGATATATCTATTCTCTTTTTTTTTTATTTCGATGATTTTATCGCTATTTGACGATGTGTGTGCTCATCGTTGACGGTTTACATTTGAAATATGTGAATATGCATATATGAACTAATGTTTAATTGACTCTTTCCTTGCAATAAAATATTTCCTGCGTTAAGTATGTAGATTTTGAAATCTTTCTTAACTACATATGATATGAAATCGTCTACGCCTGTCGCAGTCTGACACTAAAGATTTTGATTTTTTGCTTTTCCTTTTCTTTAAAGAGTGCTTTCATCTATAAAATTCTCAAAAGTAGATGAGGGTGAGAGTGTATGTCTAGTTAGAAAACGTTGTGGAGAATAAAAAAAGAAAGTCTCAATCTGTAGGGCATCGACTACTCTATCATCAGAAGGCATTGAGCAAAAGCTTTTGTCAGGATCGATCTCCAAATCATGATTTTGTATAGAATCTACTTTAAGAAAATCTTGAAGAAAAAAATGTCTGCTAAACGAAAGAAACATCATTACCGAAAATCGTTGAGTATCGTATAGTGTTGCATTTAATCAAGTTCAAGAAAAGTAAATTGAAGTCAGCATTCGACTGGAAACCGTAATTCACAATAAATCGAACTCTACGGTAAACCTTTGAAACTTCTAATGAAAAAACTTTGTGAAATGCAATTCTAGTGTCATGTATCGCACAGATTAGTAATGCTAAGGATGAATTTTTCTTTGATAGATTATGATTTTTTTATGCTAGTTACATATCGATTTCAAATGAATCTCTTTGGTAATGACAATGCAATCGTCAAATATCCTAGAACTCTGAGACAAAAATGTCGTCATATTTTTCCTCACAAATACACTCACAATGTTTGTCTAACTGACTCTTCTTTTACATACTTAAAACAATGATTCCGGGTGTTAAATCCGATCTGTTCTTCTCGACATGAGCAAACCAGTGTTGTTTCTTCTATTTATCATTTCATAGTCTTTCACAACTGAAATAATAAATCAACATATTAGTTTTTAGTGCATCTATTATTTGAAAATCTTCTTGTTTCAGATTGTTCACACATTCAGTTTTTCTCTCACAACAAATAGCTTCGTATCTGGAACTATCGAAACTATTATCATCTGTCGATTCGATCAAACCATTAACCAGGTTAGAAAAGAATCTAAATAAACTTATTGAAATATATGAGAAAAATGAAGACGATGAGGAAGAATACGAAAATACCGTTCAACTAGTAAACAATTCAATGAGGGATCTTTCACAAAATTGTTATACCTGGTTAACATCTATTGAACATCATAAACGTCAATCTTTTTTCAAAGCTTTACTCAACAAACTCAATCCATTACAAGCACAACTAAAAAAATATGTTGCAATTAAGACCTTCAATGAATATGATGAACAATTATCAACATTAAAATTACTTTGTAATACTGATTTCAATCAGAAACCATTGGATTTCGCTGAAAAATGTCTGACATATATGAACTTATGGAGTCATTTTGAAAACCAAGTTATTTCATTGATTGAAAATATAAATCAAGTGACAGGATTAGAAAATATTTTATCGACTCATTTAGATGCAATTAAAAATGCTCGAAAAAGAATAGTTATTTCTTTTCTAGGCAGTTTAAAATCTACAAAAAGCAGTTTAGTTAATTTTCTTCTAGAAAGAGAAATCTGTCCAACAGAAAATGAAGCAACAACACAACAGCTCGTCTAACAAAAATTATATATGGTGAACGAATAAAACTTACTCGAGTAGTCGGTGGAGATGCGTCTAAATCTGAAGATTTTTATCTCGATAATTACGAAGAATTATTAGTTAAAGCAACTGAATTGATTAAATTGTCATCAGATGAACGGTCAAAAGAATGTAAAGATGTGATTATTCTCGAATTACCTATGAAAGTATTAAAAGGTGTGGAGTTATGGGATATACCGGGTTTTGATGAAAATGAAACTATTAATAATCGAATAAAAGAGATTCTTGAAGATACTGATTTAATATTTGTTTTGATACCTCACCAAGAAAGTGTGAGAATGGCATTTCAAAATTTCATTCAACCACGATTAGAAAAACAAGAAAATGATAATACTAATTTTGAACTTAATGCAAACAATAGAACATCAATTGTGTGCTTTATCGTTACTCAAATCGATACTTTTAAGCCTAATATTCAAACAAATAGATCACGTGATGATGTATTAACTAACCTTTTTATCACCTTGGGAAAATATCCAAATATTAAATTCAATGGAAATGATATGAAATCCTGTAACAATTTTATACCAATGTGCACACATCGCCAATTTGGTATCAAAACATTTTTAGAATGTCGTCAAATGTTTATTGAAAAGTCCAGTCGGTGGTTTCAAAATGCTATTGAACGCTTAGCACATTTTCGCTTACGTTATTTATTAAATGTAATGCAACAAATCATTCAGTACAGTGATATTAAATTAAAATCTCAACAATGTAAAGAATTGCAACATGCTTTTCTCATTTGAAATCTGAAATACCTGAATTCGTTGCCGACACGTTATCACCAATTCAACAAGAACTCCGTTGTAGTCTTTGCAAAAATGCGTCGAAGAGCAGTGATAAACCCGAGCATTCACAGAACTCAATGCAGGAAAAAGAATCTACAAATAGTTTCAAAGAGAGACTTACGGACAAATTCCAGGAAATTTTAAAACAAAAAGAAGAAATTATAAACATTCGCTTTCATGATTTTCTAATGAAACATTCAGCATCCTTACAACTAAATCCTGCAATAGCACTGCTGTATGAAAGTATAATGACTGAAGTATCCTTAAATCCATACAAATTAGGTATTGGCTTTTTCGAAAAATGCTACTCATCTGAATACGAATGTAGAATATTATCAACACTGGGGTGGTTTATCACTCCTCGGTGGTTATAGTGCGTATATTGGTGCAGCCGTTATTATTGATACGGCTCCTGTTGCTGTTCCACTTTTGCTTGCGAGTGCGCTAGGTTTGTATTGTTTTCTGTATGTTGATCAGAATGAAATTCTTTTAATATCATAGGAATGATAACTCTTGGCATGATAAATGTGCATTGGCTTGACCAAGCAGAGAAGAATTGCATCACGAGTGTAAACGAAGCAATGCATAATCATTTAGCGGATAAGCTGACAACATTTTCTGAGTCACGTCTCCAAATGATCATCGCCAAGATCGATAAAATGATGAATGAATTAACGTCTTTATCAAATGTACAAATACAAGCTTTAACCAAATTTACGAATACATACAAGTTGACAATGAACAAACTCTATCTGAACTTACAGAGCGAACTATTCAAATTGACATATCCAGAATATGAAATTTCTGAGGAAAAATTGATCCCACGTACTTTTGAAACATTTCGCACAACATTATTTCTGTCGGATAAGACAAGATTTGATTTAGCAGCAGCCAAGGTTCCGCTTCAGCAATTTGACATAGAACATTTTCATTGTTTGAAACAACTCAATCATTCGAATATTGGCAAATATTATGGCATTTTAAAGTGTGTGTCTGAAGAAGATTTTTATTACATAATTATAGATAAAATGGACGGTGATTTGAGTACGGATGGTCGAAAACATTTATCAGAAATGAAGGAGAACCAAATTTCAGATATTTTATATCAGATAACTGACGCTTTACGCTACATTCATGATCGATGTTTGATACATAGTAATGTGAATCCAGCAAATATTTTCTTCAAAAACCTCGGTGATCAATTTTTATTTTATCTCGGAAATTTTTCTTACTTACTTTTTGACCCGATGATTCCATGTGGCACTTCTAAATATACTGCACCTGAGTTTACCGATCGAAGTTTAGGACCAGTTACTCATAAATCAGATATTTATTCATGGGGTGTCACAATTAAAGAGCTGGTGGGTTGCGTACCTTATAATACAGTTTCCAATAGTGAGAAACTCAATCGATGGTTAGAAATCGTCGATCATTGCACGAAAAGTTGCCCAGCAGATAGACCATCTTGCAAAAAAATTCTAGAAGCATGCAAGTTATCGGCTAATTAAATTCATATTTTTCATGTAATGATCCGATGTTGTATTTCGAAAAATTGTCCTTATTTTCTTTCAAATATGATTTAATCCAGTTGATCATGTCAAGTTTTCTTCAATCGAATAAATCTAACTGAATCATTTTACTTTGTATCATCAAAATAGATGGATTAGTCGATGCATAGATCAAAAGAAAAGAATCTGTAAATATTGCTTCATTTTCACCCGCACTCTTACAATAAACAATTGATATAAGCACAAAACTGCTTGTAAATAAATAATCTCATTGAACTCATTTTCTGTCTATAATGAATTGTTGTTTTTCAAAATCATGATGTTACATTTGTGGTTTTTTGAGAAGCCAATCAGCTGATGTGTCTTTTTACTACAATGAGTCATTGTCGAGTTCATTAATACTGTTTATTCTAAATGCATTCAATCACTGCATTTTTGTTGATCATATTTTGTTAATATTCAAGCTCACCCGTAGATATGAAACATCACGCTCAATTTTACAGTCATGCATTGACATTGGTTAGGAAAATCGTTCAAATTTGAAATAATTCTCATGTAACTCGTAAAAATCGAGTAACTTAAATTCTATCAGTAGAAATTAATGAATGGCTGAAGTCCTTTAACATTTATGTTCAAATTCATTCACAGATATATTTGAAATGGAAATACAAACGAATGAATCATTGAAAAGTCGAACTGGGAAAAAACCCAGGAGTGGCACTGGGTAAAATTGAATCATCATCACTCTGTCCATATAAATCGGTGCTATGTGAGGCGATGGCAATGCAATCGTTTTGGCTGGTTTTTTTTTATTGTAAAGATCGACAATCACGGGATTTCTGCGTCTGATTCGCATTCACATATTCCATTTCTTGTAAAAGTAAAATTGTTTTTAATATCTTCGATGGATAATGATTCGAAAATTCATCGGTATGATGTCATGTTTGAAATTTCTATTCGATGAGAAAAGTATTCATTTAGAACCGTTCATTTTAGTTCAAATAAGACTATGGCATCTTCCTTCTTTGATGATTTGGATTTATTCTTCCACAACGATGATGGAAGTGAATAGAACAGTATTCTTTTAATGGAATAATGTAGTTTCATTCTATTTTCAGAAAGAAATCTTCATTTTGAATCTATATCGATTCACAGTAAACCGAAAATTATTTCAGGTAAAAAATAAAACCGCTTTTCATTACTTTTTCTTAGATGACAATGATCCTGTTTTGCCTGTGGAGTCTTCGCAGTTATTTGAGAGCTTCGACGATCTTGGAAGAAGTGAAGCTATTGCCATTTCTCCACAAAACGCTTCAGCAAATTTACAATCGAGTTCGTTTCTCATAACCATTGACAGGAATCGATGCACTATGTTGTAGATATGGAAAACGATCCGGCGTTCAAGTGTTTTTGGTCAACATTAAATTCTGAAGAATTGACGCAATTATTAACGGAAGATTCAAATGATAATGAAAATATTTTAGTTAAATCAACGGTAAAATAGATTAATAAATACATTTTATCATCAGATAGTTCTGTGCTCTAGGATATTGTGGAATATCCGTTTTTCTTTGATGATTGTCAACAACAGTATATTTATGTTGAGGTAAACAACCCAATAAGTATAAAGACGCAGCCGTGTGCGGATTACCACGTGCGCTATGAAGGAGACAACAGACCATCACCACGCTACACCAAAGCAACTGACAAAAAGGCCATTCAAATCGATGTCAGTGTACTTACTAAATATTCATTACGTTTCTATTTATTTATGCATTAAGTTTTCACCTGACTTATGTGATATTTGGAGATTTGGGAAAGAATCTGGATTCATTCCTTGGTTAAGAATCACACGTACAACTGTTCCAAATTCCGATTCGAATGTCATCTGTCGTCATCCATATCCAATATGGATGAAAAACAATAGAGCAAAAGTTCATGACGGATCAATATACATCCAAATAAGTGATGATGATATGTCAAACGGATACATCAAGTAGGTCATTCTTAAGTATGTTTATATAATACTTTACTTCCTTCAGAATCGAGAATTTTATCATAGTTAACATCAAGCAAGATAAACTTGCCATGATGGATAGATTTGCAATTTATAATCCGCTACAAACTGTGTTCTCTGGTAAAATGAATTGATTATTGGATTCTTTTAAGATGTTTATACTTCATTTTAATATAATAGAATATTGTGATACACACACAAATAATGCAAAAACGATAATCGACACATTCAATCTTCGTCAATCGAAGGTCTCCTTTCAAATAATGATGGTTGATGTTAATAATATAATATACCCAATGAATTGCTGTTGTGAAACAATAGCAATGACCGAATATACAGGTAAATCTCATCTTGTTCGCTTCAATTAAATGAAGATACAACACTAGGTTTGATTTTTTTTTATTTTAAAGGAAAGAAAACCAGTGTAGAATCGGATGAATTATCATCATCTAAAAAACGTAAAAGAAATGAAGAGCAATTCCAATTACGAAAGGTCTGCTTTGATTGATCGTTGATCTTGAACATAAATCTTCTTATTTTTTAGACAAAAGCAAAGAAAGTCAAATCAGGCCATACCTAACCCTTAATAAATGCCAATTATTAATCAATTTTGTTGAATTTAATCATAATCATGAACATTTTAGTCGAGAAATGTTTGAATTGTTAACATACTAATGTGAAAAAAAAACTCATGGTAAAGGAAAAGACGGGATACAGCCGCCGAATTCTATCCGCTTGTATTCCGTCTTTTCCTTACAAAGACGAATTTCCAACGTAACGTAATTACTTATGATAGCATAAATTTACGCTTGCCGGGAATATCTTCGATAAGATATTCACAGGATCTTACTATTGTTAATAAGTGTAAGAGGCGCTCCTGAGCTGCCGGTAGCCAATATAAAAATAGATTTTTTTTTTTGCAAAATTGTTCAATTCTACTGTGGTCTATCGGCTTTATCCCGTCTTTTCCTCAACAAACAAATCAGGCCATACCTAACATTGAAAAACGTATGACAACGTCTCGTGGCATGAAGATATGGCACTGTCTCTTTGTAATTGCAAACTACATTATTACCACATATTGCCAAGAATTATATTGACATTCCAGAACGGATAGACCATTTGAGGTTATAATTTACACTTTTTGAGGCTTTTTTGTAATTATTTATACATATGTTTTAGCTTTAAATTACGTAGTTGAGTATTATTTCTATCCTTTATTTATAAATATTCAAAAAACCAAAGGCACCCAAATTCCATAGGAGATGAATATCAAGGAAAAATGTAACTGGAAGTATGTTGGATTGCCTGTGATAAGATAATCAAATGTTCCTATGAAACGATATGTGTTGATACACAAAACTTAGACTGATTCACTTTTACGCGCACACTAGTAGGAGTAAGAGTAAGGAATTATGAAAGAAAAGGATCTGTTCGGCATGATTGACCTGTTTTTCATTGTTTATTTCTGTTTCTAGTTGAAACAAGAAATGTCTGAGAATAAATTATTTGAAAAACTAGTTCTGAAAAGCTTTCAATTTATGAAATGCACAATGTTCATTGTTCATGACATCTCTTTGTTCTTTCGTCTTTCATACATTATGATTCTATCAAGATGGAGAAATGTTGTTTTTTTTGCTGTTTCACAATTTCTTTAATAGTTCAAGTATGGAATAAAATAATAGAAAGTTTTTAGCTGTTTTATTATTCTTGTCTAGCGAGAGAAAGAAAAATTAGACACATGCTTGCAAATCAACAACTACAAAAAATATTTCCAAGAAAAACTGTTCTCAAATTCTGTCTGTGCCATCTGAAACTGCATCAAGCGACACACGTTTAATTTTATCGTCTGTATGTTTGTTATCAGTTACTTTGGGTGAAATTCCAACAGCTGTGTGAGAGGACATTTCAGGAAATTGACCCAATTGAACGAAATTTGTTTCTTTTTCAATGACTTCACCTGATCGAAGTTGCTGGTTAAGTTTAGCCGATCGAATTGGTGAAGAATTTCTCACCAAATAATTTACTTGTTCAAGTGACAATCCTTTCGTTTCCCAAATACAGAAGATTGCAAAAAGTAGACAACCGAGACAAGTTGAACCCCACACAAAGAACACTTTTGATCCCATGTTCCCTTTATCTTCATCAACCATGTATGGTGTTGCATAACCAAGTGCAAAGTTAAACAGCCAATTTGACGCACTTGAAAATGACATACACTTGGCTCGAATTGATATTGGATATATCTCTCCTGTCACTACCCAAGCGGCTGGACCCCAAGTTGCTGCAAAAAACGCAATGTAAATACAGACGAATGCGATCAATGTTTTCTGAGCTGCTTCATTTGATTGTCCAACAATAGTTCCAATAATGGCGATAAGATATTCACAAACCAACATTCCCGCTGCACCAATAATTAAAATCTTCCTTCGGCCAAGTTTGTCCATCAGCAATATACCAGGAATGGTCATACCGACATTCACAACATTCGTGGCAATCGTGATCAAAAATGGTTGAGAAATTCCTGATGAATGAAAGAAAGATGTTCCATAATAGAAAATGAAGTTAATTCCAGTTAGCTGTTGCCAAGCTTGCAGAAAAATTCCAACTAAGGTGCGGATAAGATTCTTTTGAGGTCCCATCTTGAAACAATCAAGATAACTCGTACTGCCATATTGTTTCATCAATTCCGTGTTGGCAACTATTTCCTGAATATCATTCTGCACATCGGGATGATCGACGCTTTTCGATGCAAGTCGTGCTTGTGATTTTGTCGCTTGTTCAACACGTTCTTTTAAGATTAAATATCGAGGAGATTCAGGCAATAAAAACATTCCACCGGCAAGAATCGCTGCCCAAATAAGTTGTATACCAAGTGGAATTCGATAACAATTGTACGACATGATATCTTTCGTTCCATTGTTGACTATCGCAGCTATCAACAGTCCAATGGTAATGAACCATTGATAACCAGATACAATCGCACCACGAATCCATTTCGGTGCACATTCACTTTGATACATTGGAACAATACAAGAAATAATTCCAACACCCAGACCTGCAACAACACGACCGACGACAAATAGGGGTGTGGCTGTTGCTGCTACTTGAAATGCAACACCAATTGAAAAGATTAAACATGCCAAGATTAGGCCCCATCGACGTCCGAGATAATCACTAGATGGATAACCAAGTAATGCACCGACAAATGTACCAGCAGACAAAATCGAAACAATTAAACTTTTGTCACTTGATCGAAGAACATACGTAGCCGTTGCATTGTTCTGTAGATAACCATATTTTTCAAGAAAAAATGGCATATCGATTATTCCCGAGATGGTACCAGTGTCATAACCATATAAAAAGCCACCAAATGCAGCAAATGCTGAAACAACAATTGCCATGGGATTTTGACGAAGCTTTTCCATCAATCCATTCGACATTCTGATCGATTTTTCTTCAATACTTTAGTGAATAAAGCAATAATCTAAATACATAATAAAGAATTTCATTAGATAAAACGAGAAGACACGTGTTGATTAAAACATACCTTAATTTCCTTGATAACGATGATCAAATGCTGAAAACTTTCGAGGCTTTTATACGATAGTAAAACAAGAAGACATCCCATTTGGGACATGCGTGATTGCGAATTTACTTTATCGAATATGAATGTATGGCTAAGGGTGTGATCATATGTGTGCATTTATGAAGGCTATTTATATAAAAGTAATTTACGCAGTTTGTTTGTTTTTCAAAAGAATTAACTTTAAAATTTCAAAATATTGATTAAGCAATATTTTTTATTTTGATTCAAAAAGATAATAAAACAATACGAAAGAGATGTTCATATCAATAAGATTTCTATGAAAATATATGATAGAATGCATCGGGCGTATAATGAAGATAGTAAATGCAGTTTGTTTTTCTCTTCAGACAGGTTACATTTGATACGCGAAAGGACATATGTACTTTTTCTAATACGCATTCATTTATTGAAAGGTTAAATCACAAGTCCCAGGTACTGAAGCAACGTGGAAAAAAATTACTCGATCAACTGAATATCTGCGCAATTGACTTTCCCCCGTAAAAAACGATTAATTAATCTACAAATGTTTGAGTTTGTAGAATATTAAAATATTTAGTTCTTTCAAAAGTAATTATATATTTATATCATGAAGTTTTATTCTCTTCTCGTATATGTTACTTTTCAATTGATTATTCAATGAATATCAATTGTAATATCATTTAAGTATTTACAAATGAACTTTTTTTTTATCAAAATATCTTTCTTATTAAATCAACATCAGTGTGTCACATCATCAATCAAAATTGTTACATAAGAAAATGTCATTTTATCTTTGATTTCTTTTGCCATTCATCATAAGTGTATCATATGATTAATTCTTAACAACCGAGCGAACTGATGTAGAAAGACATTCGAATTGTAGTGTCTTCGGAATATGTTGCGATAGTTTTTGCTCAATGACTGTCAGAAAAAAAAAATCTTTCATAAAACACATTATTTTTCAGGTAGATGAATAAGTAGAAATGTGCAAAGGCGAATATCTAATGATTACAGTGTTTACATATTAAATATGTGTCGTAATAGGCCTCGCCTTCAATGTCTCGTACAATAATTACCTTCGTAGTAATAACGAAATCGTCTACACGTTACTAGATAAAAACAGGACAAACTAAAATGTGTAAATAGTGTAATGAATCACGATGTAGGAAAGAGACGAAAAGAAATAGTATTGTTAGGCATTGAATTAATCTTGTTTTTTTTTTCAAAATATGACTTTCTTGTTATACACAAAATATTTGAATATTCTTTAAGAATAAATATTCAACAATTTAAAAGAAATTTGTGATCTTTCAACAGTCTCAGAAGTTTTTGTTTGCAAATTTTGCTTTCAAAATTCATCGTTAGATAAAACTTATTTATTATAGATATCTTTGTGTTATATATGTTCAAAATTAGAATAATATTAAGACAAAATAATACTAATAAAATCATAATGAAAGTAAAATACAAAAGTATGAAAGAATATGTACCGATTATTGTTTCCTTTTATAAAATGAATAGATCGTTATAGAAAAGTAACTTTGAAAAGGATAGAAGAACTATAATATATAAGATTAATAACTTGTAATGTCTTTTGAATTGTGATAAAATTGATTACATTCGAACTGATGAAGGTGTCCATGTATTCGGATTATTCTCATCAATTCTGTTCATTGAGTTTTTCTTTTTGAAATAAAAATATAAATGTTTAATCAAAGGAATGATGATAAGTTTTGCAATGAGAAATCCCAAACCAAAAATTTCCAAACAAACAATTGTAAAGAGTAAATTGCTAAAAATCAATTCATCTTCATCAGTAATCGGTTTTTGTACATTCAACGTATAAAATGGTGCTTCATCAATTGTAATCGAAAGAATCGTACTACTACTTGTTGAATATTTATATTCAATATCATTAACAAACATTTGATTAACATCTCCGGACAATGTTGGTAACCACATTCCACTTAATTTTGTTTCTTCTTCTTCCATTAATGGATATGTTCGATTAATAACTTTCGTTAGTGTTAATACACATGATGGTTGTTGAGTGAGTACTCTTCCGGAAACGAACAATGGTTGTGCAAACATTAGATCGAATACTTTGTAAATAACTTCGAATGCTTCATTTTCTTCATTCACACCAGGTGCTTCCAAACCAATTCGAAGAGCACCGATCGTGTTCGTACCCTCAAGGAGAATTTGTATCTTAATTGAATGTGTTGGTAATGCCAATGAAATCGAAATACTTCCACCTTCATCATGACAAGAAGAGATAAGCATCGGCAAAGTATTGTCTTTAATTTGTAAAGCAGTTATATCAGTACATTTGAAAAGTGTATTGATAAAATCGATGTGTAATGTAAATGGTTGACTATCAAGAAGAGAAAATAGTGGAATTTCATCGTCATTTGGAGGAATCATAAGTGCCATTAAACCTGAACTGAATTGAGAATTCTTCAATGTTGGATCACAAGCGAATGTCGCTTCATTTTTCAAGTCTTCGATTGGATAACGATGAAAATATGCATTACTAAATGAATAAGCGAACGAAACAAGAACGATAATGGAAAAACTAAATAATCCGCCGATGACCATTTCTCCTTCACCGATCAGATCTGTTCTTTTCAAAAATCTTTTCATCTGTTGATGCGCTTTGTGTCCCATTGAATCTTTCGCACAACGACTGAGAGCGAATAGCACAAGCCAAATGATTAAGCCTAAAACAATTACAATAATTGTCCAAAAGAGTGGCGACACACTCAAACAATGTTTTGACATTGATTTACGAATTGTAAACATATTCTGTATTAGAATATTATCAAATCGAATCGAAAACGGAGATATGGGATATGGAGTTCCCTGATTAATAGACGAAAGTAATACAGATGAACTATCTATGTTTCCAAATGATGAACCCAATGGACAAAATGAATTGTTTTTGCATGGTAAACATGATGATTGACCTGTGAGACCATTTGTTGATGTACCTGGTGGACACAGTAAACACGCGAAAACATCTAATTTCTCACTGTAAGTTCCACCAATGCATAATGTTGATGATGAAATTGTGTTTGTACTTGTGTCAGATAATGAACCAGCGGATGATGGAAGAATAATGTAATAGTTACCTTGAGAATCTAACAGAACAATAGTACCATTATGAGTAATGGAAAAGGAGAGAAAGATTGGACCAAATGAAGATGACAAGGTTTGTTGAACGTTAGGGAAAATTGATGTAACAGCGAAAGTATTTGGATTTGTGATATTGTATGTGAATAATTGTGATGATAACCAAATATAATTAAGAGAATATGTATTTACCAGGACTAAAATAAGATTTTCATTGAGCCAACCAACTGCTTTCCCCATTCCAATAGCTTTTCCATTAGATAACATTCGTAATGATGACGAAAATGTTCGATTAATTCGATTTATATGAAGTATAACAATTGTATTCATTATTGGAATTCCAATTAAAACTTCATTTCCGAAATGATTTATTTTTACAGACATTCTATACTTTGGTGAATAAATATCTGCATCATGATTTGTTACACTTGCTTGCCATGAAGTATTTGTTAATGGTGCGTACAACCATTTATCCCAAACTTTGAAAGTCGAATTCGAAACACTGAACAAATAAGCACATGGAGTAAATTTAATATTTGAATCTCCGACATATCCGAGAATGACGAAAAATAGATCACGATTATAATCAACGGCATAAGGAATGAAACTCATATCGGGCCAAGTGATAATACCAAGTTGAGTCGAGATAATCTCTTGATTGAGATTATAAACAATGAGAAGATTTTTAGTAAACGCATAAGCAAGTTGATTTCGTGGTCTAAATTGATTAGTTAATGAGAAAAGTTCGTTGAGGAAAGATAAACTTACGCCATGGTAACAATGAAACAATCACTATTAATCGTATCATCAGTAGTTGTGACAAGTTGAGGAAATTGATGAAAACGATAATTATTTATCTGCCATCCAACACATGAAAAACTCGCTTTTCGTGATCCATTTGTTGCTGATACAAAAGCATCACCTGTCACACCAACATACGTCAATGATCCAATAAATGGTACCTTTGTTAATGTGTTAATCCCAATAAAAACAAAACGAACAGGATTATTATATGTTCCTTCAGGATCAACTGCGACTGAAAATACATATTGATTGGTATTATTGTAAGGAATTGTACATGAAAATGAATAATCGAAAGGAGCAAGACGAACAAGAAATGAAAAACTCGAAGGAAGTGATTCCACTATGAGAACGTCATTAGCAGCGATTTTGACACCATATGCATCAAACGATGATAAATCTGGTGAAAATGAACAAACACACCAGAAAGTTATAAACAATGACAGAATTTGAAAGATATACAAGAATATCATAACTGTTCCATCAGTTCTCATTACCATGAATATTTATACAAATACCTTTGCGCGTGATGACCTAAGAACATTCCGGACACTTTTCTACACCTACTCGATAGAAATATTGTCATATTAATAATCATTTAGCGAAATCAAAACAGAATAAAAAAACGACCAATGTGATTCTCTATTACAATTTTATAAGTTCTTTTATGCACATAAAATATGAATGTAATTGCACAATGACTATACTAACAATATTATTGTTCATTTATTTTCTCATTTATTTTTACGTCTTTTCTTCTTATTCCAACGTATCGTTAAATTCTTCATATTGACGTAACAGAACAAAAGCTATGTATACAAATTAATTACAACGATATAGAATAGTATGTTCTCATTTCGGATCGATAATTCGTAACAAAAGCTTCTTTTACTCTTTGTTTATGATTCGATCAGTCAATAATATGATTGATCACCATCATTTTTTATGCACAAAAATTTTTATTCAAAAAAAGTAATGGAAATGATCTTCTTTTAAGAATAAAAATCTCATAGTTGTCATGTTTTTTACTATGTGACCACATTTATTTTATTATATTTTCTTATTACAAAAAAAGTCTTTGTTTTACTTCTTTTGAAGTATTCTTATATATATATATATCAGATTTTCATTATATATGAAGTTTAAATAAAAGAAAGACTAAAAATAATATCCTGTTTGAAATAGAAAATGGCTTTTCTGCACCCGTTCAATTTTATCGCTTTATATTACTCTCTTCTTCATGATACGCTGCATTTTTAATTATCGCAAACAACGGAATAGTCAGAAAAAGAATTTGTATACTGATTTGAAAGTAAGTAGAAAAAACAACTCTGAACCAATTGATATCAGATCAGGAAAGGTTTAGTAGAACTTGTTCAGTACAAAGATCTTATTGCTAAAATTACCAATAGAAATTCCCTTGTTAGATTAACTGTACGAAAACAAGTTAGTTCCTATTATTCCTCGGGCGTCAAACAAAACATTTTTTGTTTATGAAAATTCTACTTTTCTCAACAAATTAGAAGATAGTAGACATAATCGACCGATTTACATTTGTATTCTTTCGATCAGATATTTATTTTGTGCAATATAATAGAAATTCAGTGTTAAATCCATCGATTTATTATTATCTTTAGAATGCACTTGAAAACATTATTTTTATGGATTTTTTTTTTTTTTTTTTTTATTTGCTAATAACTGCGATCATATGATCCTAACAGTGCAAGATAAGGTGAAGTCACCAAATGAAAAGAAAAATAGTAAAAGAAAACACGTGGATACACCACAAAGAGATCAATAAAAAACAGAAATACACAGAGCATCAGTAACAATCACGAGTACAATGAAACGAAGAGAAAAGAAGAGAAAATAACCACTTTAACAAAATGTATCGGGAAAATGCTGTAACAGAAGAACATCATCAAGATCATAATGAGGAACAGAAGATTTAGAAGGAATAGAAGACAACCACGATATAACTTTTTCAATGATAGATAGATGTGGAACAAATCTTTTTGATGTTCTTAAACCTTTAATAGAAAACTCTCTATTCAACCAGCTTTTACGAAATTCACACATATTAGCTTTTTCAAGAAGAAGAAAACCATCAGTAGAATTTGAAAGTGCATCAATATATCTATTCCAATATGCAGCGCACCTGTCCTCTAATGACAATTCATCTAGTACATATGCAAAGAAGATTTCATTCCATTGAAGACAAAACATCGTACGACGGAGAGACGTATAATAAAACTTAGATAAATTTTCTTGTTGTTTACGAGTTAAAAGAGGATATATGGGATAGATCCAGGTAAAAATAGGTAATACATATGAGTAGAAAAGAACTTTTCGAAGATCAGGACTAGAACATCCAAATAATTTAAATGAACGAATTAAAGTAACTCTTTTACGAACCTTGGACTCCACATTTTTTATCAATTTTCCCCAACCCAACTTAGAAGAAACTATATATCCAAGATATTTATATTCTTCTTTCCAACAAATCATATCATTCCCTGCATCACCAAATGAGATGAAGAATTTTGGTTTACCTATAGCTCGTGCACTAAAAAGTGCTTCAGTTTTTGACCTATTCAAAGGTTGATCTGCGATAGATGCATAATACTCTAAATAATCAACAAATGATTTAATTCTTTTCTCTAAATCGATACATTGATCCGTATATCGAATACCTATTTGACCGGCAAGAACAGCAGCAACATCATCTGCAAAAAAATGACTGGAACATGAAGAAAGAAATTGACTCATGTCACAATGATAAGTGATAAATAAAGTTGGTGTAAGAACACTACCTTGTGGTCCACCTTTTTGAATCGAAAACCATCGAGATTTTCTACCACCAATTTCAATAAAACCCCTTCTATTCAAAAGCCAAGCCTCAATCCAATTCAGAAAAGAGATTGGAATACCTAGTCGACGGAGTTTACCGATACAACCATGATGCCACAACTGATCAAACGCTGAACGAAAGTCAATGAAAATAGTACAAACCGGAGAACTGTTCGACATAAGACTATAAATATCTTCTAGAAATAGCAACAACCGGGTTTGAAGTCGAAAACCATCACGAAATCCTGATTGATTATCAGGAAGCAATCCTCGATTTACAAGAATATCACGAAATCTAGTCAAAAATAATCTTTCACCGATCTTAAGAAACGAATCAATAAGAGAAATAGGACGAGTTAAAGAAGGAGAACATATGGATTCTTTTTTAGCTAGAAGAATCATTCTGGTATCTTTCCAAGCACTAGGTAAAAGAGCAGTTTTGAAAGAATGATTAAAAAGATTTAGAAATAATTTCCAATGATTTAAATCCAGGAAATTGAACATAAAATTACTTATACCGTTTGCGTCAACAGATTTCTTTTTACGTTTCATTTGGACAGTATATATTAATTCCTCTAGAGTTACTTCAGGAATAACTTCATCAACATTATCATATTCAACAACAGGAGAGTCAGTATATGGATGAGGTTTTATAATTTCCGATTTTTTAAATGAATCTTCATAATAATTAGCAGCAATATTACACATCATATCAGCATCTTTGACAATTTTTCCAGATGTATCAATAAAAGCATGAATTGAAGCAGAAGAAGGTTTAAGATGCTTTTTTGTTTTCAACCAAAAGAAATTAGATGAAGAAGAAGAAGAATTTCTACTGTGAAGAATAGACGATAATTGAGAAGAGAAAAAATTTCGAAGTTCATTTTTCGCTATTTTTCTTAGTAAATTTATTTCGTTTTTTAGTTCAATATTTTTTGTTCGCATTTGTCGAAAAGAAAGTGCTCGTATATATGAAAGAAAAGATCTAATTTCAACAGGTATAGCTGGACGATATTTCTTAGAAGGAAAAGAGATTGTACATCGAGAAGAAAGAAGAAAAATAAATTTACTGTAATCATTGTAAAGAATATCCATATTATCAAGATTCCACAGTTTTTCCCAATAAGAGAAAGTATACTCAGTAAAGAAAGAAAAAACTTTCCAATGCACATTACTTGCTAATTGATTTTTTATGGTCTTTACCGAAAGAACGGAAAGAACTGGAACATGATCACTAGTTGTATTACCTTGATAAGTTTGAATAGAAATATCAATATCCTTCACAAAAGCAAAGTCTATTATTCTATCAGAGCGTAGAGAAGTTCGTGAATTAGGTAAGAAAGGGGCAAGAAAATGTTCATCTGTCCAAGCTAACAACAATTCTGACTTTTGAGTATCTTTATACAAATCGACATTGAAATCACCAAACACCACACATTTATTAGATATAACTGGAGACAAGTCATCCCATTTCCACGATTTGCTCTCTGGAGCATAGATTCCAACTATCCGAACATAATCAATCCCTTTAACATCAACTACGCATACGTTCGGTATGCTACATTCAACTCGTGAAACTTGCAAGAAATTCTTTACTAACAATAATACACCACCATTACTATTTTCACCTTTTTGAAAAAATAATCGATAGTTATAAAAATTTTTTTCATAAAACGACAAGTCCAATAGACCAGTTTCTAAAAGGATAAGAACATCGAAATTTAAAGATGAATCAAGAAGAAGAACTTCTTGCCATCTTAGACCTAAACCACGAACATTGAAAGACAAAATATGAAGAGAAGAAGAAACAGAGGAATCAAAATTAATAGGTTGAGAAACGAACTTTTGCCATTTAGAGAAACAAGATGAAAGGGAAGGACTATCTTCCCATTCACAAAGAATATCAGAAAGAAGATTATAATCAAAACGCGATAACATAACTTTAGCTTTAGCCAACAAATCACTACGTCGACATAGATTATTAGAAGAAATACAAGAGAAAAAGGGTTGTGCAGAAGGAGAAAGAGACATTAGTTCGAGAAGTGTTTACCTTGTTTATCATTCTTCATTTGAATAAGATAACGTTCAAGTTTACTTTTCAAATCAGCATCTAACACATTGCCTTTTTTATCATGATTCTGTGATGCAATAAGAGTAAATAAATCTTCAAACATTGGTATAGTAAGTTTAACAAATAAATTTTCATGACGATCGATAAATAAATTACGATGAATAACATCCTTCTTTAAATCTTCATGATCATTGGAAAGTTTAGTTATTTTTTGTTTAATAATTTCATCGTTCTTTTCTTTGTCCAAGATAAATTGTTCAACTTTGTTTTGTTTAACTTCGACATTAACAAGCTGTTTTTTCATCTCAGACAAACTATTGATTAGATCATCCAACTTGTTCATCATAGGAGTAATTTGTGGTGGCTGAGATAAAAGTGGTGGTGGAAAATTCGAAGGTTTATAAACATAGTTTTGTATTGCAGAAGAAAGTGTGTTAACTGGTGCCGGTGGATTATTGAGATTCAATAACTTTCTAGTTAATTCAGCACGATAAGTCTTCACCACCTGACATTTAAGAGAACTTGATTTGTGATTTTGATTACAATGGATGCATTTTTCAATTTTTGAACATTTGTGATGCTTAATATCATCATAAAGTTCACCACAGGTACGGCAGGTTTCTTTAATCTGAGTGCATTGCTTTTTAAAATGGCCTAGAGCCATGCATTTTGAACATATCAATACATTTGCAGGAGATAAGTATTCAACAATCTCATACGATATGTGGTTAACAAGAATTCGACGTTCATTGAGTAATTTATCACGAATAGATTGACATGTTAATTCAAGTTTAATCATTTTGATATTATTTTGAAATTTATTTTTCATTCGGATCACGTTTAATACCTTCGGATATTTAACTTTAATTGTATCACTAAAATCTTCAAAATCAAGATTTAAATCAACATTTTTAATTAATAAACAAAGTTGTGGTGGAATAGAAGGTAACGATTGTAATATATAAGGTTCATTACCAAACGAGTTAGGCCAATTTTGATGATCCAGAAGAAAAGAGAATGTAGAAACATCTTTGACATAAACTAAAATATTGTATTCATTCATACGAAGACCAGCATTAGTTGAACGACAATTTAATAATTGCAGATCAGTTTGATGAACATTCTTCCCATGATTAACTAATTCTTCTTTAACTTGATGAATTGTAACAGTACCAGTTTTAAAATGTAAAACAAAAGGTGCAAATGGATACCGTGTAAGAGCATAACGAGTTGATTCATTTGTAATGTTAAGTTGTTTAGATAATACAGAATTATCATTAGTTTCATTAACATTAAGCACGTTTTGTATGTGATGAGGAAAAACTAGATCAGGTGAAGAAACTTGCTGCCGACCAACTTTAGAAGATTTTTTATAAGTAACAGTTTGAAATTCTTCATCGGTGACATCCATTGAAAGAGGACGACGAACAGATGAAGAGGAAGAGGAATTAACTAAAGAAGTATCAATTGCTAATGATGGATTATCGAGATTTGGATCATTGTTAGGAAATAAACCACCATTTATTGTACTAACATTCACAATTTGAGAATCAGCACTCTTGTTTAAATTAATAGATGCAGTACCATAATCACCAACGGCAGAAGCATGATCAGATGATGTCTGTTCACAGACTTCTCCACGATTAAAATTAATCGATTTTAAATTAGAAGTCATTAAGACTTAAAATTCACAACAAGAGAAATCTGAAGAAAACAATTTCTCGTGAAAGCACGTAAACACGTGACTGTAAGGAGGAGAAGNAATTTGAGAATCAGCACTCTTGTTTAAATTAATAGATGCAGTACCATAATCACCAACGGCAGAAGCATGATCAGATGATGTCTGTTCACAGACTTCTCCACGATTAAAATTAATCGATTTTGAATTAGAAGTCATTAAGACTTAAAATTCACAACAAGAGAAATTTGAAGAAAACAATTTCTCGTGAAAGCACGTAAACACGTGACTGTAAGGAGGAGAAGAAAGAATAAACAAATATAATGTAGAGAAAGAGAAAAGATGCGACTTATCTGTAGCCTGTATAAGTGAAGAGTGATTCTAATATTTATTTTTCAGATCCTGTACTTATCTCGAATACTGTTGGCACTATGTATCATATGCTACTGATGGACACAATACTCGTACAACACAATTATTTATTAATTATCATAACAATGCGCGCCTAGATTTACTCGGTTTTGCACCTATAGGTGAGTTCATGGCGCACTTATCAGCTTATTGTTCTATGTGTAGATGTGATCATTGTTCAGAAACTCATTGGATTTTCATGGAAAACTATGAAGAATATCATACTTTCGAGTAGATCTTGATAATCCTTTGTGTCATTCGGATGTTAATTTCATAAATAAGACGATTGTTGTTTATCTTTGTAGGTATTGTTACTTCTGGTATGGACGTCGCAAATACTATCTTTAATCCAGCTCCAGGTAAAAAGTTGAGTTTTAAAACTTTTCCAGATTCCTGATTCTTCATTACACATGTTGTTTTACCAAATCCCGAGCGGAATTGAGAAATTATACGATCTTACAAGAACATACAAGATCTGCATTGTTGTTGTTATATAAGATTGTTTTCGTCCGATTCAGCTCAGATCGGATAAGACTCTACAAGAGGCAGTCAGTTTGATCCTGTACGAATCTGTTCGTTTGAATCTTGCAAGATTTTAGTCTGCATCTGACACTCAGAAACGGATAGAATCTTGGGAAAAACTGCATGTATATGGTATTACACGATCCTATTTGAAGATCAGGCAAAAAATCATGTACGAACAAGATCTTATATGATCGTACATGGGCTTACGTCTGATTTTTTGACCTGGGTGGTAGTGGTTAATCATCAATTACATGTCCGACAGAAGCCAATCGTTACTTCTACACAGTGTCGAATCGTAGCGTCTGAAACTCACCCTATCTCGTATGACCTTGCTACGTTTTCTCAATCTTCATTTTCATACTTTGGAATCAATAAGACGATATAGTAACTTTATTGTTCTAGTATT